GCCGGCAAGACAAGAGGCAAAGGAAATGCGACTTTGGCAGACTGCAGTAAAAAAACGGCAATAACAATCACATGAAAGCGATCGACCATCGACTGAAACTGTGAAGCCCAGTCAGTGGTCGGCACGGCAGTGCTTGCGGCGCGCCAGTGGACAGTGCGAGCTGAGAAGACAGCTCAGCAGACAGCAGCGGCAGAGTGCAGCAAGGGGAACGGTGCAACAAGTGAAGAAGAGAGCTAATTGGGACAGTGAAACGAGTCGGCCAGTGAGGAGGCTAACGACCAGTGGACATCATCATCAGCATCAGCTGAAACACGAGACTCTACGAACCTGTACGGCTGAATTCATGAAGCAGTTGTTCTGTCCAGGCCTGTTCAGTAAACCTTTTGCATGTGAAATGGACATTCGCGATTGAGATCGAACGCTGGCGTCGATGGTGGCGGTGGGCATCGTCGCGGCGAGCTGCTCCAGTTCGGGGTGGTGTGCTCGAGTGCTGGAGGAGACGGCAAAGACGGACTCATGGCCGTTGCTGGCACTGGATGCCATCACCACTGGGCCACTCATTGTCGTCTTGTTGATCATTTGGATGAGGCTGATTTCCCTGATCACTCAGTGCTGACTGCAATACTGCTTGCAGACAGTGGATGCTAACGGCAGTGAGGTGACACACACACAAACACTGAAGAAGCAGTTTCACAACTGAAGGTGTTTATTGGCTGCTTTCATGGTTGAGGAGAAGAAGAAACGAGGAGTGAAAGAGTGACCACAGCGATGTGTGTTTACGGCAGGCAAGTGGTAGCCTTATCGATTGGCGCCAAATGGTCACAGATCAATTTGAAGTGGTGACTGTGGTGAGATATGTGGCGAGGAGTGCGCAGCACAAACACCCAGCAATGACAACACCTGAGCTGAACTGCTGGAGATGATTTGCAAATGGAAAATGATTATAAACAAACAATGCAAGGATCAGCAGCGGGATTTATGGCCAAGACGATGGAAGAAGAAGAAGAAGTGACAGTAGATTTAACTGCTGCAAACTAAGACCGAGTGAGCGTGTGAGAGGCACAGAGTGCACTGCACGAGACTCGAGACGCAACTAGCGTCGGGCGAAGCGAAAATCGCGGCAACGAGATTGCCGTCGCTTGTTGTCGCTGGCCATTGCTGCTATTGCCATGGCAGTGGTCGCAAAGTGCTTGCATGCAAAGTGCAGCCTGTCGTAGTTGCTGCTGCTGCAGTTGCAGTTGCTGTAAACTTGTTTGCTGTCTTCCCTACTGATTTGTAACAAGTGAAGAGCGGAGGGAGGACGAAGGCAACTCACAGGTAAAAGGTGAGTTGAGGTGAGGTGAAGTGATTAGTTTTCCTGCGCTGCAATGCAATGGCACAGTGCCGAAGGAGAAGCAGAAGAAGAGCCAAGTGCTGCGGCCACTCACTCACTTCTAAGCTGAAAACCTGCCTCCCTGCCTGCCTGTCAAGACGCTCGACCCCGACTTATCCGCAATCAGTGGTCAGAGGTAGTAGAGAAAGAGAGAGAGAGAGACAGAAGAGATGGAGAGATGGGGAGCGGAGAATGAAGAACGGTGGACTGGGACGACGGCGAGAGGAGCGAAGACGAAAAAAGAAGAAGGAGAAATAAGAACGCGCAAAAAAGAACGAAGAAGGACGATTCACATCGGTCACAGGAGGGAGGACGCTGAAGTTTGTCCGGGCTCAGCTCTGAGCTCTGAGCTGAGCGCCAGTCTTAGTCACTTTGGACCTCGCCAGGCAAAGTCGCCAAGTCGAACACTGTCGCGTGTCTGCTGGCAAGGAGGCTGCTAGCATCGCTGCTCTCTTGGACAATGTGTCGATTCTAAAGGACTCTAACACAGACACAGACACACTGTTTAGCTCACTGGAGATCATCAGCTTTTTGCCCGGAGGAAAGCGCATCACTGTCCGCGTGTCTCTGTGCGCAGTGACAAGTCGCGTGCTGACAGTGCTGGCAGTGACCAGGCGAGGTCGTCGTCAAATGGCCGCTGACACGAGGAGGCGCACATTAGACAACGGCAGTTTGTTCGCATCATCGGCCAACTGCGCCACTGGGGGAAATCTGCAGGTATGGTTGAGAGCAGCCGTTGCCAACGGGCCACCAGCTACCAGCATGACTCACCAGGCCTCTGTTCATGAATGACACTAGGTTTGTGTTATCACAGCACGTGTACACGTACTCTGTCCACAGTCTGCGCTTTCTATCTGTCACCTGTCGTGTCTGGTTAATTTGGCATGACTTGCCAGTGCTGGCTAATAAAATGGTTGCCTGACAGCGACTACGCTACAAACCCGAGAAATGCGCTCTTTTGATGTTGCGATGAACTCGGCAGCAATGCAGCAACAAGTGCCCAAGCTGCTAAGGAGCACTTGTCAAGAAGTCGCCGATGATGCTGCATTGCAATTTGCACAGCACTGATCGAACAGCACTGGCCGAGAATAAGTACGCCCGTCAACTGTGCTGCCTGTCGGCACAATGACTAGGCAGACTGCGCCAGAGTTGCTGAAGAGTGCCAGAATTCAAACTATTCACCATGATCAATCAATGCTATTCCACCGACGATCGCAGACGCCGACTGTCGTTTGCGACGCTGGGAAAAAATGGTAAGGAGAGCACAAGTGCCGGAGTGAGGGCACCCGAAGCTACTCGGCTGTCATCTTGGCGCAAACCGTTCATTTGTTTGTCCGCATCAGCGACAACATCCAATGCCATGGCTGCAAAAGACAGTAAAAGGAGGCAGTTAATTAAGAAAAAAGACGACCAGCACACATTTAGCGTCAGTCAGCTTCTTTCAGTCAGTCGCACACTGCTGCACTTTAATTCAGTAAATCAGCAGCAGCAGCACTAAAGGCTATCGTCAGACCTCAATAGACTGGATGCGGTAATGATGCGGCTACCGAAATGAGCGCCACTCTTCTGCTCTTCACTCGGACTGCACGCCTCGGCTACTTTAAGATGCCTTCTTCTAACAACGCTCTCGCACTAGATCTCCACTGATCTGCCAACATTGTAAGCGCTAATTAATTTCTCTGGTAGGAGAAAAAAAGTGGACACGAGAGCGCTGAATTAACTGTGTTGCCGGCAAAAACACTCTATTTGCAGCCTTCTCTTTCCTGCAGAAAACGGTGATCAATCGACACTGGCAACCAGCATGATCTGAACAGACTCGATGCTTAAATAGTTTGCAAATTATAGGTTGACTGTTGTAGCACTAAAACTACCAAGTTGATGCACTGGTTGCTCACAAAATGCAGATCAAATCAAATTAGGCTCGACTGTAGTGCTGTTGGCAAAACGCAGAACGACATCTAGCAACGGTAGGCATTCTGCTTGTAAACTGATCACTATCAGTTCATGAGAAGATCTACCTTTGGTTTTAAAACATTCCGGCTTTGTAGGCAAATGCACACCGTCTTGAGCTAAACCATGTTTCATCTGGTCGCAGTGATTATGTGTTCGATTTATGCCTTTCAAACACTGGAGATCGGCCACACACGAACATCAGCGCACACTGTCTGTCTCGTTTTAGTCCGCTAGCAAGTTGCATTTTTTCTTAAATATAATAAAGCTTGCCCTTGTTAGCTTTGCGTAATTAGTTTTTGCACATTAAACCTTACCCCTTGCCTGTTGGTTGTGCAATGAGCCGCCATTGTTTTGACTTGTTTCAACAGCTGCACCACAGTTCACTTGTCCAGTCCACTGGAAAGCCACTCAGTCAGTCAGTCTGACAGGTTCCTTTACAGAGTGGGGCAAAATTAGTCCCGGGCAGGTATGGGAAACTGCCAAGTGCAAAGGTGAAAACATCTGGCGGCAAAAAAAGTACTGCTGGGCCAAAAAATGGAGCACAGAGGTGCAAGTGCTGGTGGCGGTGGTGGCCGTGTTAGTCATTTGCTTAGTTTCTTGAGCAAACACAGAGCACTGGATTAGTTTCCAGCTGGTTTTCTGACCGAGTCAATACTGAATAAGCGTTAGTTTCATGCAAACACAGTTTGAAGGGAACTGGGAAGCAATGGAGAGAAATGTAAATAGATCACAAAGACTGACAAAGGACATTTTAATTGCACAGCATCGTTTAATAGCTCAATAGCACTGTCATCATTAGCTAATTGATCGATTTAGTAGCCTTCATCTAATTAGACAAGCAGCACTCCCACCTTCCGGCCATTAGAGAGGGAGGACATTGAAGCACTTTTTGCATCACCTCCTAGCATACTTTTTCGCAGTGCAGTAGAACAGTGTCGACAATGTTCTAATTGTAAATCGATTGAGTCTACACACAGCTTGCCAAAGAATGGTTGACTGAAGAGTGGGCGCAAACGAGCAGCACAGTCTCCGGCGAGTCCTCATTGAGACGGCCAAGCCTTAAAAGTCTATCAATCAGCGGTGAGGGGGAACAAAGTACCCCGATTGCGCGCTTTCTCCGAATTGTGGTTTCCCACTGAACTGCTGCGATTCCCAATAATAAATATTCGATAAGTGTGTGCTGACCACCAGAGTGAAGGAGGGAGAGCTGCAGTTGGCAACAACTCTCACCGGATAGTCCAATTAGACAAACACAGAAAAACAGAGAATCAAGTGGAAGTGGGCACAGAAGAGCAACAGTCAAACAGTCCACTTCAAAGGTGAATCGATAAATTAAGCAGAGAAGTAGGCGGTGAGATAATTCCTATCTTATCGCCCATTCTCTGCCACTTGAGAAAGAGCAGGCCAGAATTGGCGCCAGTCGCCGCAGTGACACACGCTCTCTCCCTTCTAGCTTAGAAACGGTGGCAGTGCCCAGTGACAAATGACCACCTCTGCAAGTACGTCGCAGTAGAACGTGGGTGACTTTGAGCTTCACTCGCTTGACACGTAAAGTCAAATTTACCCTCAGCAAGCTGCATGACAAT